GAGGATTTTAGATCTTAATTGAAACTGATCATAACATATGAAATTGGATGGAGTTGGACTTGGGGGGCTAGTAAAGGGAAAGCTAAATGGTGGAAATCCCTTTGTATGTCGGGCTTCACAATGCAGGAACGATGCTGTGGACCCTGCACCCAATGCTGCTGCTGCTATCCCGCCTCATATAGCTCAGAACCAAGTGAAAGAGGTGATGTGAGGAGTTATAAAATCATGTAACCTACTATTTCAGATAGTGTAGAGTTTGTATCTGCTATTTTTCCTGACAATGGAATTAATATGTTGGGATTGATTCCGTCCACCTTCCGAAAGATAGATGATACTTATGCCATACTCACACAGCAGAACAGTGCAGGTCTCTTAAGGTCCTATGTCACCTAACAGTTAGAAGGAGATATATGTAGGATATCAATCTGGAGGATAAGCAGAACACACCTCTTAGAATGAAATTTTTTTAACATTTTATTTTTAACTATTTACCTTGAATATTTTTCCAGCAAATATTGCTTCATTTGAAATATTCTGTGAGTGAAAATTGTTCTGCTTATGTTATCCTCAGTTGGCTAAAGCCCAACAATATGACCTATATATGTTTTATCTATTTCAGGGACAAGATTGTTTTATATGCAAAAGAAGAGGCCATATTGCAAAAAACTGCCCAGAGAAGAACAAACATATTTCTCAGGATTGCGTTATCTGCTTACGATGTGGAAATTTAGGACATGAGATGCTATCATGCAAAAATGACTATGCACCTGAGGATCTGAAGGTTATTAATGTTCTTAGCACGATTTTCTTTATAATTATTTTTACAGTCCCCTCTCCTTTCGGTTGCTATACTTCATAAGATGTCATCTGTCAATTTGGTATCATAATAGTATGCAACTTTCCTTTTCAGTTTTGCACATCATAACTATTGTTGAAAGTTTTCAAGTTCTGAACTTGTGCATGGGGTATTACTCTAAAATTTTAATCATCTTTGATTGGGCAGGAAATACAATGTTATGTTTGCAAGAATTTTGGTCATCTTTGTTGCGTGGACTTTGTTGATAACAGTCCAAGAGAAGTCTCCTGTTATAATTGTTCCCAAACTGGGCATACCGGTCTTGTAAGTTGGATCATTCCTCTTATCTTGGTTCATTATATTATTTTGCTGATTCTTCCGCCCTTGAAGTTGAGCTTGGCTTCTGTGAAAATATTTAGGGATGTGCCAAGCGACGTGGAGAAATGACTGATGTTTCTACATCTTCGACTGTATGCTTCAAATGCGGTGAAGAAGGGCATTTTGCACGGGGCTGCACAAACAATTTGAAGGTTAGATCCCCACCACCACCAACAAAAAGAAGAAAAAAAACCCCGCACCCCCCAACTAATAAAAAAATCAACTTTGGAAAAACATACCCCCAAAGCAACAAATCATCAACTTTGATAGGCTAATTATATCTTCAATTTAGAGGGAAACTGGGAAAGGTTACAGAACGATTTGGGGAGAAGTTTTGCAATACTTAGATTTGAGGGGTAGTTTTGCAAATATGCATGATTTTAGGGGTATATGTACCCAAAAGAATCCTTTTTATTTGAATGTTTTTGCTTAAGTTCCCTCATAATATTGTTGAAATTATTGTATAGTTTGACCGATGGGAAAGTGGATCTTCGACTCCATGGAGACCTACTGATGAAAATAGAGAATCCTTGGGGTTCCGATCAGTGCCTAATGAGTTTGGCAAGCCACGTAAGAACAAGAAAAAGACATTCTACTATGAGGATGATTTTGAGGACAGATGGAACACATCAAGCAGTAAGTCCAAGATAAAGGGTGGCTGGATCGTTGATGATCCAGATGAAATATCAAGACGATCACATGAGAAAGCTAACCGTTGGAAATCTCACACAAGCCCGACTACAAAGAGCCACAAATCTTACTCTAAAACTTCCAGTGGGTATTATTCTACTCCTCAATCTCCTTTCAGCAAGCAAAAATCATTCATGGGAACTCCGAATTCTCATGCTGCGAGCAGACATCATAGCAGGCACTCTAATGGGTACTCTACTCCGAGACATTATGGTCGATCTCAAGGTTACTATGATAGAACTTAGTTATAGAATGATTTACTCCTGTAGAATGATCTACTCCCGAGTATTCTCCTGTTGTGAGAGAAGGAAATATTTATCACAAGCCCTTGTGAAAATTTGGTGTGATCCATGAAGTGTGAAGTAGATCCAGGGCATTGGACCTCTCTGGTCAAGAGTAAGTGACTCTGCCCTGGTGTAACTTGCAAGCAAATTCATTGTATGACACTTTGTTAAACTATGTTCAAATTTTGTTTGAGGTATTAATTTAAATTCCCAGGCTCCATCTTTACCTGTAGTTTTCTCTTATGAATTGTGTACCTGTAGTTAAAATTGCAAGTTTTCACAAACTAAAATGAGCCCCTGAAGGGTACGTTGCATCAGTATTCTTTTTCAGGTTGTTGCCAAGGTGATTTGCAGCAACCTTTGCTTTTATGCAGATCTCTCTTCGCTTGCTGTGCTTGAACTTGTATATATTAAGCGTGCTCGGAGCTGAAACCAGGTTGCAAGTTGTACCGAATGAAAGCGGAATTGAGAAAAACTGACTGCGTATAAGATGCTGGGTTGGGTTGTTTTTCTGTAAGATTATGCAAGATGCGCTGTGCCACGTTATGCTCGTCATTGCACCGATACAAATAATGCGTTGGGAGTGCTGAACCAATTATCGCGCTGTGCTACGTTATGCTTTGTCATTGCACCGATACAAAGTATGCGTTGGAGTGCTGAACCAATGATCATCTAAGAACTGTTTTGGAGGAGGAAGCTTTACGACTTTTTTTTTTTTTTTTGGTTCCGGATATCCCGTATGATCAAAGCAAATACCCGTAGCATCAGAATCCTCTTGGTTTTGAGTAATTCATTCCATTCTAATTTCTATGAGCCTTTCTTTCGAGGGAAAGGCTACGGTTTTCCCTGCTCTCAAATCTATTAACATGCTAGTAATTGACAGAAAGAAATTAGAATTAAGGTGTGGAAAGCCATTCTTATTCTAGAGAGCCTACCTGTTTAATTTGCCACAAAGGTCGAAATAAATTTATGGGGAAAAAAAATGGCAAAAGTGGTGGTTCGTTGGTGGACTGTAACTGGGCCTATTGCGGATGCACAGCACAGCAGCCCGTGATCCTTCCACCGTTGAGAGCGGGAGGTTTTCGCTGCTCTGTGAAACCAGCCTGACGCGGTGCCCTCCTCTTCAAGAAACGAGTGAGCCCAGCCTTCGCTAGACCCACACGCATCACTGCCCAACTAGGAACGGGCGGGCCAGCAGAGAGTACTGCACACCCAGGCCCAGTAACAAGACCCAACGTCCACACCACCTTAATGCCCCGCTCGGTTACAAGCTCACGCTACTGAGCTCGGCGTCAGTCGGGGCTTGGTTGTTGTAATTTAAACTACAGAATGGGGTCCAAGTTTCTCGATGTGGGACTAACTAGTACCCTTCCCAGTTTCTTCTCTTCCTCCCAAAAAAGATTTCCCCTTAGAATTATAGTGATACAAGGGATCGACGATCAATCCCCACTGTTTTTTTTAAGCAATGCAAAGGTACAAAATAGGAGTACAAGGTTCTACGAAGAGACTTAACGTTGTGGCATATAATTCCTTTTTTTTTATATCGTATGGCCAAATGATGTTCAATGAGAAAATTCACTGAATTCTTCATCTGATGGTACATTCAAACAGTTTTCATATAATTATAAGTATGTGCCTCAACTAAATGGACAGAAAAGAGTACTGGTTTATACACAAACAAAAAACAAATTTTTTATTCCGAAATTTTGGTTCGGCTGCTGTTCTATTATGGATCATATCATCCGTTAAGTTAACTATTATCATATTCTTTCTAATTGTTTTCAACCAAGTTCTACTAAGCCTACCTCAATTCATCTTTTATGCAGTTAAATATAATCTTATTACTTAGGTCATGTTCGGATTGCATATTATTTTTAGTCAATAACCCTTTATCCTTTAAATTTTAAGGGGATATTAAGTGGGACTATTTAGTCCATTAAAAATGAATTAGTCCAGATATTTAAGACTAAATAATGAGGGAAGATGGGTGTTATTATAGTTTTGGGACTGCTTTTCGTTCGGGATTAGATCTAAAATGACATCATCACCGCTTAACTTTCTAAAAGTTATCAATGTTTTTCATTACCAATCATTTCCCTCGTCCACTTTAATCATCTCATTTTACGAATCCCCACTTTGAAAATTACAAACATCTTTGTTGTGCCATAGAAACAAACTTAATCACATTCAACTTGTTAACATTAACACGTGTCCCAAACAGACTACACCCCAACTCAATGCAGACAAACAAAAAGAAGAGTTATCTCTTCTCGCCAGGCAAAGTCAACAACTTGCGAGGTCTACTGAAAAGGTGGTACGAGTCGTCCCTTCTCGCCAGCCCGAGTGCACCCTTCTCCCCAAGCCAGGTCGAAAGGTGATCATCCTCGAGTCCCACGTCAACAGCTAATCTTCATCACATTAATTATATTGTTAGAATATCATTGCTCTAGCCCCCATAGCCTTTATGACTCATTAGACTCCATCGGCAACACGCTTTCTCTGCCACCATCACATTGATCATAAAGGTGACTCGTGTCACCCACAGCTGACACATGTAAAGTAACTGTTGACTAAGCAAGTCTGCTTAGACTCAGCCAAAATTACAAAATTACCCCTCTGTACCTATTATAAATAGAGGGACTATTTGCAGCACATGGGGAAGCAATCTCTTGCTAAAAAAACATTCTCTCTATATATTACTTTTCCACTCAAGCTCAAATACTGACTTGATCGTTGGAGTAACCCAACTCCAGTCCTCTAACATGTTGTAGTTTTGCAGGAAGCTAGACAGTCTATTGGGGGATCAGCCATCAAAAGAGATCAATGGACCCTAACACCTCCATAATCCGCACACAAACCCCCTATTTGATAATTGACATCAGCAATCCCCATTAGAAATATAAAAATTACAAACAATGTTCTAAAAATCTAAAAATTGCAAACTCCTCCTGAAATATTTCGCTGATATGTAGAGGGCATTGTGAGCATTTACTGTTATGTTCTAATCTTATACCCCTTTACAATGATAAATTCCTAGATATGACATAAATATTAGAAGTATTGATAACAAATTGAACCGAACATGTTATTAAAAAACTCACAATAGTCCGTTGAACTATTATGACCCACTATAGCGAGTTAAATTAATCTTGGGATTAAAAAAGCCTAATCCAAACATGGCATTAGGGATTCTCTCTTCTTCTTTTTTCCCCCTCAAAGAAGCAGCCTCTAAAATCCTACAAATGTACACGTTATGAATCCTAAAAAAACATGAAAAAATACAAACCCTAAGGCTGTGTTTGGTTTGAGAGAAAGGGAGAGAAAAGAAAAAGAAAGAGAAAGTAAAAAGAAAGGAAAAGAAAAAGAAAAAGAAAAGAAAATGATATTCTTTTTATTGTTTGGTTAGAAAGAATATTGTAAGGAAAGTTAGAAGAAAATTCATAAGAAAGTCATTTTCTCTTGTTTGGTTACCTTTCTGAGGAAAAGAGTAAGAAAATTATCACAATATAATTCACAATTCCACTAATTAAAGAACAACATTTCTCACACATAATATTTGCAGAAAGAAATATAAATGAAAGAACCAAAACAAATCTAAAGTAAATGTCATGATATTCCTAATATAAACTATAATCCATTTCTAGTCACAAATTCTATTACAATCAATTTCATATAGAAAATCTTAACCAACAAAGTCTATTACAATCAATTTCATATAGAAGATCCTAACCAACAAAGTCTATTACAATCAAGACATCAATCTCACATCCTTGGATTTTGACTTTAGTGAGCCCATCAAGACAACAATCTCACATCCTTGGATTTTGACTTTAGTGAGCCCATCAAGACAACAATCTCACATCCTTCATCCCCTGAAATTAATTCAAATAAAAATTCAAATAAGTAGAATATAAACATCAAAAACCTATAAAATGAAGTCTTAACATTCTTTATGCAACAAGGCCACAAACTTTCGACATAACTAAACAAGTTGAGCATCCATCCATGGAATGGAATATGAAGAAGCATGACATCTTTATCAATAAGCATCACATAATAAAACATGCAATAAGCTCGGTAAGATAGTCGTAGGCTACAAGCTGTTCGTCCTCAAATATCTCTCCTTCTGTGTAAAAACGAGGACCGGTCTTCCAAATTGCAGAAGCAATTGACTCCATTCCACATGGTAAGGTTCACACATTTGTTCTACAATATCAAAGTTTTCCCTTGAGACCGTGGCAGTTGTCAGGTGTGTGCACAAACTGACCATGCAAGTCTTAAGAGGGATATATTATATATTCATCAAGACAATGCCCACAAAACCTAGCATGGCGGCAAGCTATAGCCCAGTGCATACCTTACATACAAATACAGTTTTCCGAAATACCAAGCAAAGGAACATGAATCAAAAAATTTCATGCACATATGCAACATGTCATCTATACCTCCTCCCATGTTCATTTTAAGTGGATATCATTTTATGTAGTAGAATAATTTCTTGATTATATATCAAAAGTGACTTGTAAAGATACCCCAACAATTACAATTACAAGTGTAAAATGTGAATAACATAAGTTCTCAGAGGATGAACTCTAGCATAAAGAAAAGGGGATAGAGCATGTGGAGATGTTCACCTGATATTGTCATTGTATTTTACTTCTCTTTGACTTTTAAAATATCTGGCAAAAGCAAGTGATCTATGGGCATTTTGGAGACCATAGATAAACTGACTGCTGAATATCCATGAATGTTCTGTATATCAGTTTAATTTGAAACTATAGGGATTTTGGAAGCTAATGTTAGGTGATGAGATCTGATGGGCATGCGATTAGGTGAGTGATCATAACTTGGCTCTTTTTTCTTTGTATTATTCTATATTATGTAGAATGTAAGATCACGTCTCATACCCGATGCTGATTTTGTCAGTTTCATGTCAGGAAAAGACCCTAGTGATTGAAGTTGGGTTTATCATGTCAAGCTCAGATTCCAAACTTATGTTCGTAGAGAAATAATCATACCTCATACGCGCATAGAACACACTCAAGTACTTGGTGCACACTCATTTTGGCATATCCTAAACTTGGAATGCAAATACAAGTGTGTCAATAAAAGTAAGATAAAGGAGTATAAGGTAAGGAATGAAGTCAGCTACAGGTTTTTAGGAAAATCAACCAAAAGAAATGACCACCATATAAAGTAAAATCCAACACAAGCCAAATTTTTTCACCATAACAAGTGAAGTTAAGTCACAAGCTATAGCAAATTCAACTAAAAGTTTTCCCTTCTTTAATTTTACTAAATAACTACAGTAAACAATAACGAAATTTGGCCCTAATTTAATAGACAGTAGTGACATTAGATCTGATAACAGAGATGTATTATCCGCTAAGTATCATCTCAGAAAAATGCAAACAAACACACAGGACCAGAACCACTAATCTGCGGTGAAAGCGCTCGTGGAAGCAGAATGCCCCGGTGTCGTCTCCTGTGCAGATATCATAGCTCTCACTGCCAGAGATGCAGTTGGTGTCATAGTAAGCGTTGATGAGAAAAAATGGAAGTCCTAGTAAGTTATCAAAATGCCTAGTTACTATTGGCATTATTGAGGGTGGTATCAACCAACACCATAAAGATGGCCATATATACGTGCAAATTCTTTATTTTATAAATCTTTCTTTCATTGCAGGGAGGACCTTTCTGGAATGTTCCTACCGGCCGAAGAGAAGGCTTGATTTCCCTTGCTTCAGAGGCTAATTCACAGATCCCTGCCCCTTCGTTCAACTTCAGCTCTCTTCAGACATCTTTTGCTAACAAGGGACTGAACATAACTGATCTAGTTTTCCTAAGCGGTATAAGCTTCTATAATGTTTGTTCACATCGACTGGTTTCAATTAAATAAAAACTAGCCTGAAAGATACTTGGCATATGTATGTACATTATAGGAGCGCACACAATTGGAGTTGCGCACTGCTCGTCCTTCGGCAACCGGCTCTAGAATTTCACCGGAAAAGGCGACGAGGACCCTTTGATGGCTAGTTCCTACGTTGCAAACCTGAAGAAGAACAAGTGCAAGTCCCCGAATGATAACACAACCATAGTCGAAATGGATCCGGGGAGTTTCAGGACATTCGATTTAGGATACTACAGGGAAGTGCTCAAAAGAAGGGGCCTGTTTCAATCGGATGCAGCCCTGATAACTTCAAAACCAATAGGATACTACAGCCAAATATTTTCATAACCAACAATCATGAAAATATTAAACTAAACAATTAATGGAATATATTTTCATGCATCAACAGTATGAATAAAAATATGAGCAAAGATATTACCAACAAATTAAACTTCAAAACCAACAAAAAAATATGAGCAGAATTTACCTCGGATGAAGTTGGATTCATGTTGACAGAGAGATCCAAGAGAAATGTGCAGTTGACGATCAAAAATAAATTACGAGCTCGAATCGAAGCTCACCTTCGGATCTTACCCCGTGTTACGCGATCGGCAATGAACGATCCATAGAAGAGCGAGGGTTCGCGATCTCAAGCTGACGAGAGCTCGATTGGAGAAACCCTAGTTTGGTCGGCGTCGAACTAGGGTTTGATCGAGAGAGAGAGAGAGGAGAACGATGAGGCGAAAGAGAATCGAGAGAAAGGGGGACGATCAATGGAGGCGATCTTTCAGCGTCGGGCGACGAGCAAGGAGAAGATCTCTGGAGGCGATGAGCAAGGCGACGAGAATCGAGAGATCGGGGTCAGCGTCTGGCGAAATTTCCGTCGCTCTCCCTCGTTTTCACTAGGCCAGCGGAGAGAAAGGGGGAATGAAAAAAATATAAACCCATTTTTCTGCAGTGAAATTCATTTTCTTTTTTCATTTTTGTTTTCTTTCAAACCAAACAGCAGAATCCTACTTTCTCTCACACTTTACTTTCCTTTCTCTCACTTTCTCTCAAACCAAACACAGCCTAAAGAGATTGTGGTTTAGATAGAACTATAAATGGAAAGCAAATTAGGAGATAACTTCTAATTATGGCCTAATTCTGTGGCTTCTTCATCAAACGAGCAAAGCTCAGGCAGCATCGTCTTATGACCTCCATTCAACAGTAGAATCAAAATATATGAGAATACAAACATCACAGAGTCAGAGAGTTTTCGTATTCAAAAAAACAAAAAGAACATTTTTGAACCACATTAAAATTCAATTTGATTATAATTTCTGCAATAACAAAGAGGGCTCTAAAATGTTTGCACAAGAGGAGGGAAAATCAGAAACCCCCAAGACACGCACGAAAAACTGCTGGAAAACTTTGTTACGTCTTCTCGGCTGTTGGATCAACAAGACCAGTTACAAACAGAGACCCTAGTTTACATCAGGCTATCATCTGATCCACTCTGACTCAAGGCACTCAGAAGCAAATTTCAATCTCTTAACAAAGTAGCATGCCGATAATTGACTATGTGAATTATTCCCAACCACCTAATCTCTCGGCTGGATCATAATTTGTGAAGAGTCTGAATTCATTTCCAAGCTTGTTGGAGTGCTGAGGCCTGAAGCCACAAGGATGGAGGTCTAAGAGCTCTGCAGCTCTCTCCCTCTGGACCTCCCCTGCACAAACACGAAGAAAGAACCACTTAAGAGCGAAAGCATGTAGAGATAGAGCTTCAATTTATTCCTCCCTGTAAGTATGAAAGCAGTGAAGGATAAAATCATCATCAAACATTTCACCATCAGATCATGAAGATTCGACTAGAGTTTATAATGGCTACCTAACACAACCTTCCTCTTTTATCCTAGCTTGTGATAGGTAGTGGAAAGATAAACATTACTGCACCGTTCTGCTACCATTTTTTTAATTTTATTAATTTTATCTCAGACAATAGATTGAGAGGGTGTTTAGGGAGGCTTATTTTTTAGTCAAAGTAGCTTTTAAGCTAGCTTTTTTATTTATACCTGTTTGGTAAAATGCAAAATAAGTTAGCTTATAAGTCCCATTTTAAAAAGCTGGTATACCCCAGCTTTTGAAAAACTAGCTTATAAGCTCACTTAAAAAAGCTAGGTTTGACCAAGCAAATTACTATTCTACTCAAGCAAGTTTTTATGTTATTTTTATCAAAAAAACCAAAAGCCATTAAAAGCCAGTATAACTTGTAAGCTACAAAAAATAAGCCTTCCCAAACACCCTAAGTCCAACTTGATAGATTCCTGCATCTTTTAAGACTTAAAAAAAAAAAAAACATTACACACATTTGTAGTGAGTACAGGCACACTTTGATGGGGACATCCGGACTCATACACGAGATTTTCGCCGAGTTTATCAGCGCAGGAGGCGCAATATTTCAGCACTATGGTTTTGATTTCAAGTTGTAATAATTAGTTTGAATTTTGAATTTTTGAATTTCGAATTTTGATTTTATTTGGTAGTTAACCAACTGATTGATTGTAATTGGTTAAGAGAGAGATTTGAGGGATTGAGAGGATTTTCCAAAACTGTAATTTGCTTTATTTAAACTCTCATGTAATCAGTTTGAAAAAATCACTGATGAATGAAATTGATTTGCTAAATAATGGTGTGAAACCCTAGCTTATTGATTTTGATCAGCCGTCAATCTCTTCACAAAATAAAAACAAAAGAAAATCAAACCCGATACTGTTCATCTTCTCCTCCAAGCAAACAATCAAACCCACACAGTCCTCCCCTTACAACCGCAGCAACCACACCCGAAGACCACCGGACCGCCGCCCTCCTCCGTCGACTCCAGCAATCACCACCTCCTCCACCGACGGCCTTCCCCTTCGTCCGCCTCCGGTGTTCCCTCCGCCCGAATCCCCCGACGCGAGCAACCACCGCCATCCCAAATCCGACCGCCTCCCCTTCAAATCCCCTGCAACCGCACCTGAACCATCATCGCCGACGAAGTCTTCGTCTCTCCCCGCGACGACGACCAGCCAGCCCAGAATCCTCGAGCTCCTCGTCCAGTCCCGCCCAGTCAGCACCGCCGCCTGGACCGCCGCTCACTCCGATCCGAACGCCGTCCATCCCGACTCAAGCGCCGTCCTCATTCGTCGAGCGTCGATTCGTTCCTGCTCCCCCTTTTCCGCTTGTCCTCAGATCCAGATCCTATTGAAGACTATTTGGCTTGAGTGATTTAAAGCAGAGTCCCTATTCACTCAACCAACCCATTTGATTTGAGTCAAGTGTGGACCAGACCCACTTGACCCAATCCGGAGTTGTTGAAGCTAGTTGAGTCAGATTCAACCATTTGATCCCTGATTTTACAATTGATGGTGTATGGCAGATCCTGATGCAGATGACGGAATCGTGCTAGATCCAGAGACCGGCATCGCAGATTTACAGCTTTCCCCGTGGTTTGATTATCAGTCATTCGAGAGCGTGCCCGAGTACGTTGAGCGTGTGACTCATCAGATCGTTGACAGCGTAGAGAGTAGTTTGGGAATCAGTTCGTGGCATCGGCGTTTCCATCCAGATACACCACTCCATCCGAATTACGCCGCCCTCGGTGGAGAGCTTCCACCCCTCATATTTGGCGTCGTTGAACCACCTCCAGAGGATCCTCCCGTCGAACCAGTTCAACCCGACGAAGGTTCAACTTTCTTTCGCCCAATTATTTTCGGAACTGCTATTGCTTGCATGTTGTTATCAATATTACTATCGATCGTATTTGTGCTGTAATCAGTTTGACTAAGTGAGCGAGCGAATCTGTTGCTAAGTATTTTTACTTATCCAAATATTACACTTTGAACTGTATTGAGAGAACGAATCATTACATTTATTTTCTGGATCATTTACAAAGATTTGAACTTAGTACATTGCAACTTTTGCTTAAAACCCATCAAAAGCTACACTTTATTCATGAGCTTCCTGCCTAGATCGATCGCTGATTTGGCGAAGCATTGCTGTTGTTAATCTTCATACCTGCATCACATTGTTTCGCATCATTTTTGGTATCAGAGCACCCGGTTCTAGGTTAGGAAATTTGTGTCTTTATAATAAAAAAAAAAAAAATTAGTCATCTCATTTAAATTTTTTTTTTTTTTGCACCCACTCATTTCATTGCATTTAGTGCATGCCCACTCGTACCGGTCTACCCTATCGCTTAGGAGAGTCAAGTGAGTCGACTAGTGAGTCCAGTATGTCAGGCAGTAGCGATTCCGAACTCTATAAGAAACTCGATGAGCTAGCAGGACAATTAGGTGCCGTAGTCCAGGGTTTAACCAATCTCCGAAATGAAACCAACGAAAAGTTTGCTAGGCTCGAAGAAGCTCGTGTTGCAACTCCACCACCGCCAGATCAAGGTTATCAACATATCGCCCCACCGCTGCAAGGTCAAGGCTATGGAAACATTGGTCAGCGCCCCCCACATCAACCAGTACCTGATCCGGATGCGCAATACTTAAGGAGTATTAAGATCAACGCCCCAACTTTCGACGGCAAGCTCGACCCACAAGCTTTCTTGGACTGGCTGAAGAGCATGGATCGTTATTTTGATTGGTACGCCCTGACGGAACCCCGAAAGGTCAAGTTCGCCGCAATGAAACTTACCGGACCCGCCTGCCAATATTGGACCAACCTCGAAACGTTGAGGCACATTAGAGGTGAGTTACCAATTACCACTTGGCGAGAAATGACCAACGAACTTAAACAGAAATACCTTCCGCCATCATTTTATCATCGATTGCTAGATAAGTGGCATCGTCTCACTCAAGGCACCAAATCCGCAAAAGATTACGTTGCACAATTTGATGAACTGTTCACTCGATGCAACACCATTGAACAAGAGGCGCCAATGAAAGTCTTGTCGAAGTTTAGAGCTGGATTGAGAAATGATCTGCAAACCGAACTCTTTGCTCGGGGAGTAGACACCCTTGAAAAAGCTTACGCGTTAGTTCAGGATCTAGATGAATCAAAATCCCATCAATCTTATAGGAGTCAGGATTTTAGAAATCATTCTTCCCAACCTTCTCGTGCCACTACTTCTAGTCATCCTCCGAGTCGA